CATGCTACATGGCCTGTGTGGGTGGCTCCTGGGGGTGCAGGCCTCACCCGGCTGACAAGGGTAACAGGAAGCTGCGGTCAGGCCGGTGACAGCAGTGGTGCGAGAGGTGGCGTTGCAGCTGGCAGCAGCTGCAGGGCCCAGCCCCCACTTGTTCCGAGCTCTAGCCCCCTGGGCTGGCACTGGGCCCAGCTCAGCAAACTCAGCCTCTCAGTGTGAGCCAAGCCTGACTCCCTAGAGTAGCAGGCCAGAGTGCTGACCACTGCAGGGCTGGGGCCCCACTTGTCCCTGCCCCAGAGAGCAGCCCTTCCCAGAACTATAGCCAGCCAGGCAGGGCCCTGCCAGCCGGCACAGGGTCACCCATGTTGCCAGGGGGCTCTGAGGAGCAAGGAATAGGAACATAAAGAGCTACCATAGTGGGTCAGGCTATGGTCCATCTAGCCCAGTATCCTGTCTGTCAACAGTGGCCAGGGCCAGATGCATCAGAGGAACTGAACAGAACAGGGCAATTGTTGAGTGAACCATCCCCTGTCGTCCAGTCCCAGCTTCTGGCAGTCAGAGGTTTAGGGACACCCAGAGAATGGGAATGCATCTGTGACCCTCTTGGCTAATAGCCATTGATGGACCTATTCTCCATGAACTTATCTAATTATTTTTTTAACCTAGTTATACATTTGGCCTTCTCAACATCCCCTGGCAATGAGTTCCACAGGTTGACTGTGCATTGTTTGAAGAAGTGCTTCCTTTTGTTTGTTTTAAGCTTACTGCCTATTAATTTCATTGGGTGACCCCTGGTTCTTGTATTGTAGGAAAGGATAAATAACATTTTTCTATTCACTTTCTCCACATCGTTCATTTTCTAGACCTCTATCATATCCCCTCTTAGTCGTCTCTTTCCTAAGCAGAACAGCCGCCGACTTTTTAGTCTTTCCTCATACGGAACCTGTTCCAGACCCTCCATCATCTTTTGTTGCCCTTCTCTGAACGTTTTCCAGTTCAACCAGATCATTTCTGAGATTTGTGGGTGTACCATGGATTTATATAGTAATTATGATATTTTCAGTTTTAATATCTATCCTTTTCCTACTGGTTCCTAGCATTGTTAGCCTTTTTGACCACTGCTGTGCATTGAGCAGGTGTTTTCAGATAATTGTCCACAATGACTCCAAGATCATTTTTGAATGGTAACAGCTAATTTAGACTCCCATCATTTTGTATGTCTAGTCAGGATTATTTTTTTCCAGTGTGCATTACTTTGCACTTGTCAACACTGAAGTTCATCTCCCATTTTGTTGCCCAGTCGCTACCCAGTTTTGTGAGATCCCTTTGTAACTGTGCACAGTCTGCTTTGGACTTAACTATCTCAAATAACTTTGTATCATCTGCAGATTTTGCCACCTCACTGTTCACTTTCTTTTTCAGATCATTTATGAATATGTTGAACAGCACTGGTTCCAATACAGATCCCCAGGGGCCCTGCTATTTACCTCTCTTCATTCTGAAAACTGACCATTTATTCCTACCCTTTGTTTCCTGTCTTTTAGCCAGTTACTGATCCATGAGAAGACCTTCCCTCTTATCCCATGACTGCTTGGTTTGCTTAGGAGCCTTTGGTGAGGGACCTTGTCAAAAACTTTCTGAAAGTCCAAGTCCAAGAATCACCCTCATCCACATATTTGTTGACACCCTCAAAGAATTCTAATAGATTGGTAAGGCATGATTTCCCTTTACAGAAGCTGTGTTGACTCTACCAATAATTCTGTTCTTTACTATAGATTCAACCAATTTACCCGATACTGAAGTTAGGCTTACTGGCCAGTAATTGCCAGGATTGCCTCTGTAACCCTTTTAAAAATTGGTATTACATTAATTATCCTCCAGTCATCTGGTACAGAGGCTGATTGAAGCAATACCACAGTTAGTAGTTGTGCAATTTCATATTTGAGTTCCTTCAGAACTCTTGGGTGAATAAGATCCAGTCCTGGGGACATATTACTGTTTAATTTATCAATTTGTTCCAAAACCTTTTCTACTGACACATCAATTTGGGACAGTACTTCAGATTTCCCCCCCAAAAGGCTAGCTTTCAGGGTAGGATGGGACGATATCCCCCACATCCTCTGAAGTGAAGGCTGATGCAAAGAATTCATTTAGCTTCTCTGCAATGGCCTTGTCTTCCTTGAGTTCTCCTTTAGCACCTTTATCATCTCCTGACTGTTTTGCAGGCTTCCTGCTTCTGACATACTTAAAAAAAAAAGCATGCTGTTATTTTTTGCTTCTTTAGCAAGCTGTGGCTCAATTTTTGGCCTGCCTAGCTACACTTTCACACTTAACGCTTTTCTCGTTCCTGTTAGCCTCACTAGGGTTTGACATAAAGGATGCCTCTTTGCTGCTAACACCTCCTTGACTCTGCTGTTTTGCCATGGGCTGTTCGTCTGGTCCTTGACTGGCTTTGTGATGTACATTTAGTCTGAGCCTCTTGCGTGGGGGTTTGATGTAGTCCCCCTGCTACTTGTAGTCATTTATCCTTGGGAGAACTCCTTGCAATGAAATGGAGCAGTAGGGAAGGGGGTGTGTGTGTGGGGTGTGGTGTGTGTGTGTTTGTGGGGTCCGCTCCCCCTCCTGACCCGTGCTGGGCCTGTGGGGCTCCCAACAGTGCAGGGGCTGAGAGGCCCGGTGGGACTGGATGGTCACCCAGCAGCTGCTCTGCTGAGCTCCCATGGCCCCTAAGCCCACCGCACTGTCAGCCACGGGGGCTCAGCCAGCCCCACGGGGCCCTGGCCAGTGCCCAGAGGGGCAGGAGATCCCAGCTGGCTGGAAGGGAGCAGGGCCAAAAGCTGAGCTGCTTGGGATGGGGGCAGGGGCAGCTGCCCCAGGAGCCCCTAACACTGAGGGCTGTGGGGGAGGCCAGGAGAGGAGGTGGGGCTGCCCCTTGGAGCAGAATGGGCTGCAGGGGGTCTGTTGTAACGCTTGCGGGCCTAGAAGGCCTACCTCTAATGGGGCTTTATCACTTTAGCTTCCACTGCCCCTATGCCTCAGGCTGTCTAAGCCTCTCTGCCTCCAGCTCTCTCGTGGGCAGCTGCCTTGCGCATGGGGGAAGCCTAAGGCTGGGCTAGCAGGAACTTTGGCAGAGGGGGCAATTGATCTTTGCCCTGCTCCACTTCTGCTTTCACTGAACAGCAGCCCTGTCTTCACTGGGGCAGGCAAGTCTGGCTGGGGCTCTCTCCTGTCTTAGGTGGCTCGGGCCTTTGCTGGGCCAGGTGGAGTAGGCATGCGGCCAGCCCGAGAGGCAGGGGCGGCACCAGCACTAACTCATTGCAGCACCGGGGGGGGGGGGGGGGGCGGGGGAGGGGAGGAGGAGAACTGCGCTGGGCTGCTGAGAAATGGAGTCTTTACAGACCATGGACTGGAAATGGCCCGAAGGCTGTCAAGCCGAGAGCTGGGTGCCCTGTGCTGGCTCGTGGTCTGCCTGGGCAGGGGGAGACGAAACTTCACCCGCTGCCAACCAGGAGCAGAAGCTCCAAGTTACCCGCCTCTCTACCATGCAACCACCTAGCTGCCTTCTGAGCAACGCCCCAGCACCCCCGCCTGGCGCTCGCCCATCTCAGGTCGGCGCTCGTTGGGCTTCAGGCCAACAGCTTCTCTTTGCGACAGCGACTAGGAGCTGCCCACCCTGGCCGCTGCTGAGCTATGCTAGGGCTGTTATCTCCCCGCCTGGCCCATTCCCCTGAAGCATCTATGGCACCACAGCGTGGCCACGTCCCAGGGCAAGACACCCCGCTGCCCGGCTACTGCAGAACTCAGCCCTGAAAGCAGCAGACTGGTGCCTTCATGCACCACAGGCGCCTCTGTCCTGGGATCACATACATTGGAGGGGGGGGAGCAGGGCTCAGGGTACCTCAGATCACAACCTGCCAAGCTGCTCCAACTAACCCCCCCCATCCAATACAACCCCTCCTCCGCACAGAGACTGCACGCCTCTAGTCAAAGCTGGGGGGCACCACACAAGCACCAGCACCTTCCCCTCATGTTTCAGGGCTATGGATTACAGCGTCTCCCCCCCACCCCCCCCACTTCCAGAGCAGCTCCTGAGGGCTGGCAGCAGCTCTCAAGGGGAGGGGCAGTGAATAGAGACCCAGGGAAGGAGGAAGAGGAGCAGACCAGTGATCAAGGGAGGGGAGGGGAGGGAGCAGTGGGTTTTGTGGGAGCCTGTTGGTGTTAGCAGAGCAGCCCGTGCTGTTCTGGATGGGGTTTTCCTAGCAGCCTTTGCCCATCTGCCCATGGTTTTGCCTGTGGTGAGGCACAGGGAATGGCAGGGTCAGCAGTGGCCATTACTCAGCTGGTTCCTCCACAGACCCAAGAACAGATCTCCTTCCCATTTTACAGAGGGGAAACTGAGGCACAGTAAAGGCACAGGCAACCCCCCCGGTACATGGTCCCTTCACCTAGGTGGGAAAGGGGGGGGGCAAATTTTGGGCTGAGTGTCAGACCTTGGGAGCAGGGCCTGGGCAGGGGTGGGGGAGGGGTTAGGATACCCCATACTCCATCCCACTGCCCTAGAGTTCCAGCTCCAGCCAGGCCTCCCCTTTGGGGCATGAGGCCATCAGGTGGCAGCCACCGTGCCCCTTTGCCAATGCTTCTGTATGGGGAGGGCCCCACCCCACCTGTTGCCAATACAGACCCAGGCCAGTCCCTGCCCCTGTTGAGTTCCCAGTTGGGGGGTGGGGGGGTGGGGTGATGGTGGCGGTGTGTGTCATGCATCTCTACCCTCCCCCCACGCCCCCCCAGGCCATTCACATCCTGGCTTGAAACCAGCCCCCTGCCTAGTTTCCCTCCAAACATACCTGGCCCAGCCTGGTGCCCAGGGCAGAGCCAGGGGAAGAAGCCCATTAACCTTATCTAACTTCTAGCTTCCCATCTGCCCGGGATAGAGAGGGGGAGTTCCCCCCCCTCCTGCCCTGGGGGTGGTGGTGGGGGGTTCAGCCCCCAGAGAGGGCCCTTACCATTGCGAGATGATGGCAGCTGGCAGCTCCCGGCAGGGTGGGGGACTGTGCGACTGGCGGGGAGCAACAGAGACGCGCAGCCGTGGGCGGGCGTTTCCTGCCAGCCCATCCAGCCCGCTGCACTGGGGAGCAGCTGCAACAGCAGCCGAGGACTGTGCAGCCCCCATCGGGTGGGGGGGCACTTTATGCAAATTAATCAGCTGATTTGCATCGAGCCCTCAACTGTTTATAGGCCACAGGTTTCATTCACCTCCAGAGCAGGCAGCCAACTCTCCCTGCCCAAGATTCGGGCAAGGGGGCTTGGTCCTTGGCATTTTTGCCCATTTGGGCAGTGGCTGAGGGTGTGGGAACTGAGGCCTACCCAACTCATCATAAGGAGGTAGTCCAAAAGCCAGTAGAGGGGCACTCCACTACCACCCGAGCGGGGCGGGATTCGAACCAGTGACTGGTAGGGGATGGGGTACAACCCACTTGCTGTGCCCTCTGTCAGCCCAACCTGGCCCATGTGGAGAAGGTGGAGCTGCAGACAGGCAGGGCACAGAGGAAGCCCAGGATCGTCCAGGTGCTGCCTATGGGAAATTGCTGGGGTGGAGCACAGGAAACTTCTCCAGGAATTGGGGGAAGTGGGGGCTCAACTACCCACAATCATCCCATATCCATCCCATCAGCTCACACACACAGGCTCCCCTCCGGCTCAACGGCTCCCACAGGTAGGGAGCGCAAGGCAGATGGTGCCCACAGACAGCAGCTGGGGGCTGATGCTCATTTCCTCTTTTTCCTCTCTCAGGCCGGTCAAACCACCACCACACATCTCTTCCCCTGGGCACAGAACAGGCGCAGATAGCAGTAGAAAGCTGTTATCCTCTAACAGGTCCAGGAGATGGACAGGACAGACTTGCCCAGGGGGTTAAACAACTGTAGCTGCACTGGGGAAGTAAGATGGCTGCAAGGGAGGCATGGGCTACTGCTTAGAGACCCTGCTCAGGGCTGAGCAGCTGGGCCCTGAATTCACCTCCCAGCACCACACTGTGCTCACTGCAGCCTCCTTTCCTGCCTGCCCCAGCCCTGCTGCCGTATCAGCTCATTAGCCCCAACCACTGGTTTCCTGTCTCCCCCGCAAGGCCCTGCCTGCGCCTGTGACAGGAAGGACCCTGAGCTCAACATGCGGGTAGGAAACCATCTCTTCCCCTTGTTCTCATGGCCCTGAGGGGGAAGAAAGGGGGATGACATGGTTGCCAGCCACTGCATCTCTGCCAGCCGCATTGGTGGGGGCACACTGCCCTGGGGGCTAGATCTGCCCCAGGGCTGGAGCTGAGCTCTCCCTGCAACAGACACGAGTCAGCCAAAGGGGGAAAATGGTGCCAGAGCTCCCAGGGACTGGGGAACAGCCCAGCCAGAGCAACAAATGAAATCAGGAGGCACCTGCTGCAGCCTCCCTGCTTGGCTGCCCCCCCAGGAGCCCCACGCCCCCAGGTGGGCACTGCTGGGATAATCAGCCCCGCAGGAAGGCTCTAGTTCCCCCGCACTCCCCGCTACCACCTGCGCCTGTGGCAGGAGGGGGGCTGCCTCTGGCAACGCACTGCCTGTTTTCATTCTCCAGTGGAGCAGGCCCTTGCAGCAGGCTAAGCACTTTAGTGCTGTCCACTGGCAGTGAGTTACAGATGCCCAAATGGGCAAAACAAACCATTTCTTTTCAGCACAGCTATTTGGGTGCTGCCTTCCCAGGGGATCAGGTGCCCACTGCTGGTACAAAGGTCTCCCCTCCTGTCTTGTATATACCCACTGTCTGCCCCTGAGCCAGCTCTCCTGCTTATCTCCCGCTCTGCCCCAGTTTCCCTGCGGGGCCCTGGTTAGCTGCTGCAGCTCTTGGTGCCCAGCCCCCCGGTGCAGTGGCTGGAGCATGGGGCCCACAGGCGCACAGTAAGACACGCCCAGCCCAAGGGTTTATTATAAAGACCTTTTATTTGGAATGAAAATATAGATCTGGCCCTGCACAGGGCTCTGCATGTGGTTTTTCTCTTTTCCTTATTTGCGTCTAGGCAGAAGCCACTTTGCTGGGTCTGAATGGTCCCTCCTATGACTGCCCCCCCGTGGCTATTAAAGAGGGCACAGTCACATAAAACCAGGGATGTGCCCTACTCCAACCCCACTGCACTGGCATGGTGGTGGCAGCTGCAGACCCAAGTCTGATTTAAAGGGGAAAGCTGAGCACAGCGACCCACCGATCTTGCCCCCTGTGTTCCCATGGGCACAGGAAGAGGGGGGCGGGGCCAGGCTGCACCCAACCTCGGCCAGCAGCAGGGGTGTGGATGGAGGTGGAGCTTAGTGTTTGGCTCCTCTAAAGCCAGGACCTGTGCTGGGAGAGGAGGGGGTTGCGCAGGCAGAGAGGGGCCCCTGCATAGGGCTGGGAAGAAAAGGACAGAGCTGAACCCAGCACCATTCCCCACCAGGGGCAGACAGAGGCAGGAAGCCACCCCTCAGCACATCAGCTTCTTGGGGTGAGTGACCCTGCCCAGAGTGAGAGGAGCTTCCAGGAGAGGGCAACGCTGCCTAAGGCAAGGGGGAGGGGGGGCACACGAACCACCCACTCCGTTAAGAGGTGGGGTGTTTTGGTCAGCCATATAGAAAAGGGAAAAGTTTCTCCACGGCAGAGCAGGAAGGGGAGAGGTGGGAGTGGGGCCCAGGGCCCCCCTCACCTCGGGAGGGGGGTTACTGGCAGATCCGAGGTGAAGAGTCAAAACCCTGGTTTATGCAATCCCTTTGAAGGTGGTGCCGTGCCCCTCCCCCTCACCAGCCACCCTAGACATCCCCGTTCTCGATGCGGCTCAGCTGTTCCTCCAGCCTGCTGATGCGCTCGCCCTGCTCCTTCACCTGCAGCCGCAGCGCCTGCAGCTCCTGCAGCACCTCCTCCAGCCGCCCGCCACCCTGCAGACAGACGGACCGACCATCAGCCACAGGGCCAGAGCCCAGGCCCCCACCCGCCCGCCACCCTGCAGACAGACCATCAACCATGGGGTCAAAGCCCAGGCCCCCCACCCCATGGACGGTGGGTGAACCACTGACTTGGGGAGGCTAGCCCCCCAGCCCTACCCACCTGAGGCTCCACCCCTTCGGCACCCACCAGAGCCCAGCCCCCACCGTGGCCGCTGGCCCCTGCCCCAAGCTAGCGCCCCAACCCCCAAAGCACCGGCCAGCCGCCCCGCCGGGCCCGACCCACCTCTGAAGGCGCAGGCCCAGCATCGCGGCTGGAGCGGCCCCAGCCCCGGGTCAGCGGTGCAGCCGCAGCACCACAGAGCGGGGCCAGGCAGCACAGGCTCCTCCTCCCACCTGTGTCACAGGGTGGGGCTGAGCAGGCTCAAACCCAGGTGAGGAGAGCAGTGGGATGCTGTACATACCCCGGGGGCGGTGCTGATGCTGATGCTGGGCACCGCGGCAGGCGCAGCCGTGGCACTGAGGCGCGTGGCACTGCCGGTGCTGGAGATGGGAGCTGGGCGGCTCTCATGCAGCACGTTCTTCTTGCTGACTTTCAGGTCCCGCTGCTTGCTGGGCACGTAGGCTTCGCGTAGCGAGATCAGCACAGGGCCTGCTGTCTTCCCGGCCACCCATTCCTCAGCCTCCATGGCTGCATCTGGCCCAGCCGTGTCTGGGTACAGGTCGTCCTGGAACAGGTCCGACTGCAAGGGAGACACGCACATGGGGTCAGCCATGCAGCACCAGCCTGTGGAACTCCCAGCCACTGGGGAGGAGGCAGCCCCCCTACTATGGGCAGCCCCATGGCCAGCAAGAGCTGAGGCTGGGGATTCCCAACTCCAAGACGCTGGCTTGGAAAGGAGCTTTGTTGGGGGGGGAGTTAGCTCCTTCCTCTGAGGGGCAGCAGCAGCGTTCCAACCGGACATGCTGCAGCCACTGCTCTGCACATGCCCTGCTACCAAGGAGGGGCACAGAACAGGGATGCCCCCCACCCAAAGTTTGACCCCCACACACAGAACCTCCCTCCCTCTGCTGTGCCAGGCACTCACCTTCCTTGGCACTGTCATGATGATGGGCTCACACTTGCGCTCATGAAGCTTGTAAAACCTGCACAGTTGGGGAGCATAGGAGTTAGCGGAACAGAAGTCACCCCCCCATCACCTCTAGATTACCCCCATCTCCAGGATCACTGCCCCCCCTAAAAAACCTCCCCCCCACCCAACATCCAGGATCACTGCCCCCCATCCCCCGCCCGCCAGTCACCCCCAATCCCTCTATCAGTGCCAGCCCCACCCCACATGCCCCGTTTCAGGAGCCCGCACCTGGCAATCTCACACTTGCTGACGTCCAGACCCCGCTTCGGCATCCAGCCCATGCCGCGCTGGGGTTCCTTGCTGGTGAAGGTGTTCAGGAAGTGGATGTAGGGTGGCTCCTCTGTGATCTCAAAGTACCGGATGCTTGAGTCCCCCTGTGGGGGAAGAGGGAGGCAGAGAGAAATGGGGGGTGGCACATGGGCATCATCACACCACGGAATCCCCATGGACACTGGCAGTGCCACCTGCCCCCACCCATCCTCGCCCTGTGTGGATCAGCACAAGCTGGTACCAGCCCCTTCCATGTGTGGCCACAGGCTGCTCCTAACAGCATTAGCCTGGGGTCAGCAGGGGAAGGACCTCCCCCCGATGGTTGAACCCCTACCTTGCCGCAGACATAGATGACATTGGTATCGGGGTCATAGAAGGGCAGCAGGGCTCCATTGCTGGAGTCCAGCTCCTGCAGCGCCATGGGCTCTTCCAGGTTCTCCTGCAGTGGGATGGGGAAGGGAGGAGAGGAGTTGGTGATGGAGAGGATAGGCCCCGCACCCAGATCCTGCCCATCCGGAGAACCCTCCGCCCTGCCAAAGCCAGGATATTAGCCCTGAAGCATGTCTGTAGGTCTGGGGTCAAGAAGAATCCACCTCTGGGATCTCACCCTCATGGAGGACAGACTGGGGGAAGCCAGCAGAGGCAGCAGCCACCAGGGAGCCCAGCTGCCCCTCTCCAGCGTTATTCTCCTCCAGTACAGCTGCCAACGATGGATCCCTGGCCCCAAGTGGATGTGGGCGGGCAAGACTGGCTCCTGGCCTTGCTG